ATTCTTCGGTTTTTTTCCCCTATTATTATTATTAAGGTCTTCCGTCTCCAACGGAAGACCTTCTTGTTATTCTTCGGTTTCTTTTTCCCTATTATTATTATTATTATTAAGGTCTTCCGTCTCCAACGGAAGACCTTCTTGTTATTCTTCGGTTTCTTTTTACCTATTATTATTAAGGTCTTCCGTCTTCAGCGGAAGACCTTCTTGTTAAGGTCTTCCGTCTTCAGCGGAAGACCTTATTGTTATTCTTAGGTTTCTTTTTCACTTTTATTATTATTATTATTATTCTTTTTTTTCTTACCGATTTTGTGCACGCGATTTCTCGGAAACGACTCAGTGGATTTCCATGAAACTTTCAGGACTTATGTAACATTACTTGAACCTTATGCATTTTTTTTTCATTTGATGACGTCACTTCCGGTTTGGAGATATTGTCGATTTTGTGATTTTTGAAGGGTCAGGTTGTTCGCGAACGTTCTCAGAAATGGCTATAGATAGAAAGGTGAAATTTTCCGGTATGATAGTCCTAAGTCTATAGATATGGGAAAATGATTTCATTTTTTTTCGGAAGTGCCGCACGTCGGCGCTGGCTATGGCCCGAAAATTGTCCTTTCGCGAATCTCAAAATTTTTGACACCTTTTCTGCGATATCTTTTTACCTGGAAATATTTTGTTAAAACATATAGAACAAAAGAAGTGTAGAATCCCAAGATCTTTCAAATGATATCTCGAAAAAAGGGCTGGCCCCTTAAATTAAGGGCCTAGAGGGGTCGGACGTTTTTCCTTTATATCTCAAAAAGCATTGAGAATTTGTAATACATCAAAGAAGCAAAGTTGTTCATAATGTCAAGCTCAATTTACTGAGGGAGTCAAAATACGTCCAGCATCGTCACTTCCGGCCAAACCGGAAGTAGTCATAAAACACGTTTTTTTGCCGTTCTCAAAAAGTTTTTGGGTCACATATGTCTCTGGGAGCATAAAAAGTATTTTTTTTCCGTTCGTTGTCGTCACTTCCAGTCAAACCGGAAGTAGCGAAAATGGCTTATTTTTAAGGTTTTGATGCAAAATTGAAATTATAAAGTAACTGGAGACTACTTATCTCATTGATTTCTTTTTGTTCCGTCACTTCCGGCACTTCCGGTCAAAACCGGACGGAAGATCTTCTCGTTGCTTTGCAACGAGCTTTGCTCTAGTTATTCTTAGGTTTCTTTTCCACTTTCATTATTCTTTTTTTTCTTACCGATTTTGTGCACGCGATTTCTCAAAGACGGCTTAATGGATTTCCATGAAACTTTCAGGACTTATGTTACATTACTTGAACCTTATGCATTTTTTTCCGATTTGATGACGTCACTTCCGGTTTGGAGATATTGTCGATTTTATGATTTTTGAAGGGTCAGGTTGTCCGCAGACTTTCTCAATAATGGTTCAAGATAGAAACATGAAACTTTCAGGTATGATAGACCAAAGTCTGTAGATATGTATAACGTATTTCATTTTTATCGGAAGTGCCGCACGTCGGCGCTCGCTATGGCCCGATAATAGACGTATCACGAATTTCAAAATTTTTAACAATTTTTCGAAGATATCTTTTTACCTAGAAATATTTTGTTAAGACATATAGAACAAAAGAAGTGTAAAATTCCAAGATCTTTCAAATGATATCTCGAAAAAAGGGCTGGCTCCTAAAATTAGGGGCCTAGAGGGGCCGAAACTTTTTTCTTTATATCTCAAAATCTATATAGAATTTGTAATACGTCAAAGAAGCAAAGTTGTTCAAAAGGTCAAGCTTTATCTATTGGCGTCGTCAAAATTTGTCCGGCGACGTCACTTCCGGCCAAACCGGAAGTAGTCAGAAAATGCGTATTTTTGCCGTTCTTGACAAGTTTTTGGGTAACAAATGTCTCTGGGAGCATAAAAATTAATTTTCCGTCCGTCGTCGTCACTTCCGGTCAGACCGGCAGTAGCAAAAAATAGCTTATTTTTGCATTAATTAACATAGCTTTAGATGATTCAAGGTATTTTTGGGCGTTATTTGGCATTTTTAAAAAAAATAAACTCTACTTCCGGTCAAACAGGACGGAAGACCTACTCGTTGCTTTGCAACGAGCTTTGCTCTAGTTATTCTTATTTTTCTTCCTGGGAAAATTTTGTCCGCGAGTGATCTTGTAAACTACACATCAGACTAAGGTGAAATGTTTTTAGGGTCAGTAGACATGTAATGTAGATTTGGGGAACGAAGGTCATTTTGCGCGCACGTGCTTGCAAGAGCGCGCACGTGCAACATGATAAATGACCGATTACATTGATATAGATGTAACTTTTTAAATTTTTGATGAAATGCTTTAGAACTCATAATATAAGGATACATTAGAAGTATAGACAATATGACATGGTCAAAATAGCAAGATCTCACGCGCATGCACGTGCGCTGCACTCTGATTGGCTGAAACAAAAATCTCAATATCTTTTTTGTCTTTTGACGAAATGCTTTGAAATTTTGATTATAGCCATGCATTAGGATATCCTACAATATGATATATAGCAATTATCATGAAAACACGTGCATGCACGTGCGCTGCAATCTGATTGGCTTAAACTTTAAATAGCTATAACTCATTTGGATTTCAACCAAAGAGGATGGGATTTGAAACATAGATAGATATTATGAACTACTACAAGAAGGTATGGTCACCATGCACATGGATACACGTGCATGTACGTGCGCTGTAATCTGATTGGCTGAAACTTTAAACAGCTATAACTCCCTTGGTTTCCAACCAAACAGGATGGGATTTGGAACATAGATAGATATAATGAACTACTACAAGAAAGGTATGGTCACCATGCACATGCGCACGTGCGTGTACGTGCGCTGCAATCTAATTGACTGAAACTTTTAACAGGTATAACGCCCTTGGTTTTCAACTATATGGGGTGGGATTTAGAACATAGATAGATGTAATGATCTTCTACAAGAAGGTATGGTCACCGTGCTCATGTATGCACGTGCGTGCAAGTGAAATGAACAAAATCAAAAATACACTTGAATGAGCGTATTTTTATTACTTTTGGATTAAATACTTTAATTTTTAGTTTATTAAAATATATGGATTGTGTAGACAAAATGATATGGTCATTACGCACAGGCATTCGCATGCGCACGCATGCAATGCTAAAATTTGAATGAACTTCGTACACTTCCAGGTAAATGTTAAAGTCTCAAAAACATAGAGTTTGTCTAATTTAATGAAGCTTACAGGTAATATGGCACAAAAAGAGAGTTGGGGAGCGTTTGGGAACATCTGTAACGGTTCCCGTTACAATTAGCACTAGTTTATCTTGGCCTTTTAAATTGTTGAGAATACTTGAATTGATTACAAATTGAGTAATATTGTGTAAATTTCTATTTTTTTTTTAAATTTAGATCTAAGCGCAGATCACTCTAACTGCAGAAAAATACTCGACATTAGCTTGGGCCCTTAGCCATTCACATGACAACAGACGGTGTTTGAAGTGCAGCGAAGACTTGCATAGTATTTGCAAGATCTTTCAACATTTTAAAGTTGATTTCTTACTCCGGATTGTAAGGTTAAGTCCGTATTAATTCCTTTCGCGAAAAATTAACTTGAAAACGTCTGCATCAACAACTACACCGCCATGTTGATTATGAATGTAAAAGAAGCTATGGTCAAACGATTTTTTTTTCCGGAATGCATTATATACCTTTCGATTTTTAAAACAATTAGACCGCTAAAATGTTGTGTGTGACTTAGTAAAATCATATGATCAAATTAGAGAAAATTCATGTAAAATTCGAATGCAAATGAGCAAATATTCATCGAGTTTAGAATAAACTCCGGGGAAAATTTGTCCCGTTGTTCGCGCTTAAAAATTAGTGTAGCCCTCCGAAGGCCCAAGCTGATGTCGAGTAAAAAAATTAAGGTCAATTTTGGAATCGATTTCAGAATATCTCGAGAAGTATAAGGAATTACGGAATGAAATTTGGTAGTAATGAAGATTGTTTATATATGAATAGATATGGATAAAAAGTAAAATTGTAACGCATTTGATTTAAAAGAATTTTATTGGCGAAAGTAGGTACCCTATGAAAAGAGTTCCATACCTTTATTTTTTTTTCAACACCTCAATTTTTTTTCTAAGCGATCTAAAGGCCTGTAGTTAAAAGTATAAACCAATAGAGCTACAGTCTCGACAGAGACTTCTGATTTTATGAATGTCGGGGATCTCCCCTGAGATTCATGTACCAACAAATATAAACCTTTGGCATAGACCTTGGCGTACATGTATATTTTTCAAAAAAATCAATTTTAGTCATAAATTTTTTGAACGGTTGATACTAGGGCTTTTGTATTTCAGGGGTGTATGTACATATATTCATTGTTTCCCCTGAGAACAAACAGTTATATTTTTGATGATTTATGCTAGGATTATTTAACATTTCAAAGGCTTGTTTGTGGTAAGTCCTTCCATTAAATACCAACAACTTTAACCCTATGACCTTAACCATGGAGATTTAGATTTTTTTTGAAAAGTAAATCATCAGTCTTGACTTTTTCATCTTTTGTCAAGACTTAAATTCTGATATCAACACTTTTAATCTTGGACCTTAAATTTTGTCCTACTTTTGAGAAAGTCTAAACTTCGCCATGAGCTGCAATACGAGAACAGCAGTTTTTCAAAAACACATCTTGTTAAATTTTGTATTAAATAATTATCTTTCAGTAGGGTATGGTGCTTCATATTATTGCCTCTAGCAAATGTTCACTCCATTTCTTTCCAAAAGGACCCTAGTATCAAAACTACAGACTACATGTAATTATTAAACGACGTTATACTCTGAATAATTTGCTTTCATAAAAGGATGCTATTTATATAATTTTTACACGAAATAACAAAAGGACATTAAATGTATTAATATTTTTTTATTTTCACAATTACCATGTAAAAAACCACTTTTCCTAATATAAATCCAGATAATAAAAATGTAATATGAAAAAAAAAAATTGACATTGTCCTCAGCAATTAAAAAAATACCCATATGTAATATCACAGTCAAATAATGATGAAGTATCTGAGATAATTACAAATTGCCAACTCAATAATTCAGTACATGAAGTCCGCTGTCCTGTGCTTAATGTCACCACGGCTCCACTCATTAGGCCCTGTGGAGTAGGCGGTTGACAGCAGATTCATCAGTATTCACTTGGAGAAGAGACTTAACTGAATCAAGGGGATAACTTGTAACGTTGTCAAATCAGCTAAAACTGCCTATAAAATACAATAGAAGCAGGTTTAGATAAACGTTTTCTTTCGTTTTTGAAATTTTTCTAAACGCTTGACGTCAAATTGGAGATGAGAATGGTATAAAATTATTTCAATTATTAGAGAAGCCGTGAGGTAAAGATCTAGTAAATGAAAGGTACCTACAGAAATATCAAATTTAAGAAATTAATTCCTTTAATGATGCTTTATAAGTTTAGCATGATCAAATAATGTGTTTTGGGCATAATTTGTAGGTAAACAAGATGAAAATTATATTTTAAACCTTCATTTCCAATAAAAATAAAAAAAACTAGTCATGAATATGGGAGTTTTTTTCCATACTAGACAAAGAAAGTGTATCCAGATTGCATACAGTCTTTCAGATAACAGTTATTTATATGTTCTTGGCCTCCTCTTTAAAATAATATCAAATTTAATGTAGGTATCGGGACTACCTTTCATTTACTAGATCTTGACCTAAAAATGTTATTTTTTGTTTTTAAAAAAAATTAAATGTTAACTTCGCTATATCCGTTATTCGTTTTAGTAGTAAAAGGAATTCATTACATTCATATAGTTGGGGATCCAATATAACTTCGCTATATCCGTGAAATCGCAATATCCGTGTTCGCATTAAACGAGTTTTACTGTATTGTACTTCCAGGAATGCTGAACCGTCGTATTCGTTTATTATACGATTCAATAATTTAATGCTGAAGTCCTGGACAAAAAACAGTGAGCGACACGTGGTTTCCCTTCATGACAGAAAGTTACAATATTAACCAATGTTATTTTGGAAGTTCCTTAACTATTTTTGGTCCATTCTTGAGAAATTCAAATATTACTTGCAATGAACATTTTTATATACTTTTAATTTCAGTCAAACAGAGGACTACTGATTATGATATAGGTTACTTTATATGGGAAAGGAAAATTAGAAAACAAACAGACGCGTTGAGTACAATTTGTATTTTCATTATTCCCAGTCTGTTCCCAAAATACCATGCGGATCAGCATTAAACCTAAAGACGACCAAATATGTTTTTTTGTAAAAAGTTTATTGGAAACAGTGTATTCACTTGGGAGCAAGAATACATCGTTTATTCTTTTTAAAAACGAAAAAAGTAACTAATGAAGGGACACTGTTTCATCCTAAAACCGAGAATCCTGTGCAAAAGGCATGTTATGAAGTATAAAAATGTCGTGATGGGTTTTACACGATCACCATGGGGGAAATAAAGTGACAATCATGAAATTAATTCGGAATCCCACTACGTTCCATTCAAACTAAACATGTTTTTTTTTTATAACTATGTCTGGTGAAATATTGAATACATTTGTCATTTTGTATAAAAAAAATCTTTTTCAACAAAGTGAATCAAATACAGGTGGAATCGAGCTACCTCTGCTGCGTTGTAGGACTGAACCTTCATTAAGTTGGTCTTTCTGAAGGAAAATATTGCCACTGCCAACACTGAAAGATAAATCATTGACCATAATTGCTAATAAAACGGTGCGCATCAAGATTAATATTGAAAAACAAGTCAACAAAATTACTTGGAATTAAAACATTTTAATCAAAGCTACCCATGTCTTTGAAGAATCCATTTCATTAAATCAAAGTGCTTCATAAAAATAACAAACAAAACCCTCGTGCTGCAAAATTGTTTAGCAAAACAAAACAAAACAATCGAGGATCAATATTCCTTTTAATCACGACTAAACGTGCTGCTAAGATATTAAAACTGAACACCTATAATATCCATTAATCGTAAGATGCAGTAATTTGAGCTGACCATACTTGTAGTTGTCACATACTGTACATGTACCTTACTAGTATAATGAAGAAAATACACACTTCTCTTTTTGGCATAAAAAATGCCCATATATTATACCTGACAAGATCTCCAAGGAGTTGTATGCTAGGACGCGGTCCCACAACAAGAGGACCTGATCACTGGAGAGGTATCCCGAAAAGGCACGTACAAGCCATTTAAATGCTACCTTAAGTCTGCAAGCAAATTACAAATTATTTTTTAAATTATTTTATATATTTAATCCATTTCTCGATCATGGTACATGGTTTTGAGTACAGGTACATGAAAAACTTTTACCGTATTTTCCTCAATAGTACAGCCAAATATAGATAGTTTGTTAATTAACCTTTTATTGGAATGGAACTTTTAATTTCTGAATTTTAATATAAAACTCGGAGTATTGGAACAGAACTTCTAATTTCTGAATTTTAATATAAAACTCGGATTACACTAAACACTACTACGTGGGAATGCACATAGAAAATGCTGTAGGAGGTCATACGAGAATTTTGATGACATGTGGGTCGGAGGTCTATAATTCTAATGTTCAAATGAGCAAATAAGGAAGAATGACAATTTCTCTTATTTTACTTCATCGTATAAGAACGCATTAAGCCTAGAATGTAAACATATGATAGGCAGTGATTGTTCCTTCGCCAAGCTCTCAGGTCTAGAAGTGAGAGTCAGTGTCACAACAGGGATGAACTTTCGCGGCATAATGGCCCTGAGTGCCGAGCATATATCTAAATTTGAAGCCCTTTACTGACAAAAATAACGTTTCTATATGAGTGAAACATTTTTGAATGGTACGGTAAACAATATACAATCAACCAATTAATCATAAATTATTTAGAACCACCAATTTTAGCACAGAAGATGCAACATGCTAAAATGTACAAAGGAACAATATATATGCAGTACACAGTCTAAATAATATTGCGTCAAAGTGAATGATGAATACACAAACATATTTTGATTGAGAATTAAAATAAATCAAACAAAAAGATTTTTTCACATTTTTTAAATTCAATTTTCTGAAGAGTCATGACGTATTCCCAATTCCGATCGAGTGTCAAGACCACCAATCTCGCTCAAAAATTAGTTTAGGATGAACTCTCGTGAGAGTACAGGGATGTTTGAAATTTAGCTCTCGGCTCATCTATTACTTCACTTCAAAGAGTTTATTTATACGCATATAAATAATCAAATAGTAGATAACTTGAGATATAATATGTAAAGTGCAGGCATACAACCACATAACATTTTTCTTATTTTTTTTTCTTTCCAAAAAGTATAATTTTGGCAAACAAAACTGATTAAAAATCTTTGAATACATTTTTATTATTAAATATTTCTGAGAAATTGTTTGAACATTAAATAATAGTCATTAAAATTTTCATGTATACCATGTACATCCCGAATAAAATCCGAGCTCTCTAAAATACCGGTACATTGTTTTCATTTCAACAAATTGGCCTCGGACATAAGTTGTCTGTAATATTAATTTCAAAATGGGCAATTCCGAGTAACGTTAAATTTATAGATGGCTAACAGAGAAAGCAAAACAAATACATTTATATATCGATTTTTACATTTTGAATTATCATAAAATTTCAAATAAAACAAAAGTAATGTCCCTGTAAATTTAAAACCTCAAATAAGATTGACCAGTTGTTACGGATTTGTCAAATGTTTGTAATTTAAATTGGCCAGATTATTTTGTAAAAGATAACAGAAAATCATACTAATGTTCATGAAGCTAAGGGTATTTAAAATAACATTGAACAATGAATTAATAAAAACTATAGATTCCTCAGATAACAAATTTCCTTTCAACATGATAAGAGAGAATGGATAAATTGAACTTATCTTCCAAATGCTTGAAAAGATAAACTGTTTCAACTTTCTATCAAGGATAATGTTTGATCTCCTTTGATTCAGTTTTCTATTCCTTGTATAAATTCAATAATTGCTGATTTTAATATTTCATTGTTTAAAATGATATTAACACGAATTTATTCCAAATAGGAAATTTTATGAAGTTTAAAACGATACATATTCTGAACTGAAATACTGATTAACATAAAAGCATACTAACGGTTGACATCCAACAGATTTGAGGTGAAAAAACAGATCTGATTCGTGTGTTTGAAGAAGTGATTCAAATAGAAGACTCAGGCCAACAATTCCCTGAAATGGAAAATAAAGTTGATTAAAACTGGCGAACGTTTCATTTAAGAAATACATTGAAGAGGAAAGCCGTCGCCTCTGCCTCTCTATACTACTGTAGTAGTAAGTATCTGTATTCTTCTCAGAGTGAATTGTACATACAAATACGTCTAATATGGATAAAGTGCTTTATTATAAGTTTTTGCCATTCCTATTTTAACCAACAAAAAAAAAACAAAAAAAAAAACAAACAAACAAAAACAAAACAAAAAGACCTAGCAAGCACAACTTTAAACAAATGGAATTTGTTTTCGATGCATACACGAACTGTTTATAAATCTCATATATAATAGTAACTTATGTACCTGTGGATGGGAAGAAATACTGTGGAGTCTGAAGAAATAGCGCACATACATCTCGAGAAAGACGTAGTAGAGGGTAATAGGCTCTTTATACAGAAAACACATTGGTGCCACTGAAAAATAATATCACGATCACATAATGCAAAATTTCTGTTTAATATCATCAAAGCTTTATTGACAAAAATTCAAATTTAGTGCTTTGAGCCAGGGTTTTTCATATATCTTTTAAATCTAGACGGAGTGGTAGCTGTATCATCAGCAAGATTGCGTCTGGTTTCAGCTAAAAAATGAAAGCAATACAGAATAAATTGTGAAAGATTAAGTTTATAAACGTGTGGATCAGTGGATTTAATCCTATTGCACTTATCAAGTGTGTATATATCTGTGTTACTAGATGAAATTGTTTTCCCTATTTACTGGTACAAGTATGTTTGTGCACTGGGCTCCGATTCCTTGTGAGATGAAATTTTATAGACGTTGAAACAAAATGTGATAGATTTTTTTTCTTACACATTTTTTCACTAAAGTTGAATGGTACTGCATGGGCAGCACACATAACCTATTTTGGACCCCTGCTACATGTATCTGATAGATGATTTTACCCTAACAAAACTAGAGGTACTGTGAGCGATGAGCTCACTAAATGATACCCCCCGCCTCCATATAGTTATAATGGCAAAGTCCTTGTTTTGCTGTGGCCGGAAAACCAAAAATATGTGTCGGATCAAAAAGTAAACTAGGAGGTGCACAATGGCAGTATGTAATAAAGATTCTGTGAAAGTTTCATCAAATTTCATTCAATGGTATGAGAGGAGTTGCGGATAAAAGATGGGTACCCCAAAGTGTAACAGACGGACGGACGGAATTAACGATTACTATAATATACCCTCCCGCTTTTCAAGCGGGGGGTATAAAAAGTATAGTTTACTATAGTGAACACTTTGACACTATGAAAACTTTGATTAACTATAGTGAACACTTTGGCACTATAGTGATCACTTTGAAAACTTTGATTTACTATAGTGATAACTTTGACACTTTGATTTACTATATAGTAAACTATTTTGAAGTATGGTATTTTTGTTAGGGTAATGCAAGTATATTTGATCGTTATGTTTCTTGTCAGTCTCAAATAAAATATCGGCAACATGACTTAAAAAAAATTATAAAACTTTTTTTCAAATGGCTTATAATATATTGCATATAATATCTGTAAGTTACTAATTGGCCACGTTATTAAAAACCTTAGCCTACCGACTTTTAATTAACTCATTTGTAAATCCGTGTTAATTGTGTTTCTGGTGTATTTTTTCCTTATAATATTCTCATTATAGTACAACTAAACCAGTCCGTTTTCATCCTAATTACTGCTCTGTACTGATTTCAAGTTCCTATTAACTTTCTCTACTGACAAGGGTGTCAAGATTTCACTATCAGAAAACTAGAGCTTATAATTTTTCTCTGAGTGCTAGACGTTATGAACCAAGTATATCTGAAGCTTTGCATTTAATTGGGTTCCTGGCATTTCATGGATTTTAATGAGCATACTTGAATACCCTCAGCTTGGCAATTGGGATATGTGTTCGTGGAGACATATAAACATTTTATTTGAATGTGCTGTTAAGTTTTATCTGAGATAAAATCTCGAAAACACTAAGTAAGGTAACACTGTTTATGATGAACCTTCAGCTTTCAGTAAAAGAGTCCTACAAACTATTGCATATTTACATGTACTTTGGAGAACGGGTATGTGTAAAACACGAAACTAGAAACCAGAAACGAGAAACCAGAAACGAGAAATCAGAAACGAGAAACAACAGAATTAAAAAAAAAAAATGACCTAAAAATGTCAACCAGGGGGGCAGCTTTTGCCGTGCTTTCATTTTGTTAGAAAACAGATGCGAGTGAAACATCAGCGATCTTGCACTACTAAATCCATAAAGCCATGACAGAATTAATTAGATATCAACTGAAAGTACATGATTTGATAACTCACCGCAAATTATTATCTGATTGTTTCATAATCAAAGAATAAACAAAACATAATTTCACAGTATCTATAAACAAAACATTCATACATCTGTTATATATATATATGTTAAAAACATTTATATGAAAATGATGAACATGATGTACTAGTATATAGTTTATCAGTGAAGGTATCAATTAATGACAACTGAATCATTCAAAGCAAAAATTGTATCATTGATGACAACTTTATTATTTTAAGCAAAAACTGAGTAAGCATTTCTCTTAGATAACAGTATTGTATTAATCAAATCTTTCAACATTTTAGTGTTTTTCTGTGCAGATTGTGCGTGTCGCTAATAAATCAGAACTAAGTTAGATATTTTCATTTTACTCTGCATCTGTTTTCTAACAAAATGAAATCAAAAGCACAAGCTACTACACTTTGTTGACATTTTAAGGTCATTAGTTATTATAACCTGAATCTCATTTCATTGTTTCTCGTTTCTTGTTTCTCGTTTCGTGTTTTACACATACCCTTTGGAGAACCCAGTATATTCCACCGTAATTTTCAGTAAGTAATTATCACAGCTGCATGTAATCAAGTTATAAGTGTTGGAATGGATGCATTGATAGATATTTCATTACAAATTAGACATATATTTCATCATCTTTTCATCATCTACGGATCGAAAAAAAAAACAAAATCAGGCAATATGCATTATGTAGAACTATTGACATAATACATGTTTTCCTGATATACTTGAAATAGATGTCGATAGGAAAACCATAATCACAAAACACTATAATGTTGTATATAATGGGAAGTCATGGAACCTTAATATCTATCAATTATTTCCCACAATTTATAGCTACATCATCTGCCAAAAACTCTACCATCTGTCACATTTCTAAAGTCTGTATCTAAACTCTAGAAAATGCAGCAAATTCCAGACATATATAAACCTCCAGAAACATTTAGTGCAAGTGTTCCGCCTTTTTTATGACATTAAGTGATGAACCATTAAAGTTTATCACATACTTGATCAGCTCATGCAGGTTTTCTCGTTGATAATTTAGAAAAAGTGCATTACACTGTCTATTGCCATCAAGCTTTAAGCATAATTAATTAAAGGATTACTCAATCAAATCAATGTTCCATTAAACAATCTTGATAAAAATATTCTGATGTTCGGTAGAACTGCACAGTTTAGTTATCCATTATATAGAGATTAAAAATTATCTGATATATTAAAAGTAATTAATTTGAAAGTTATTTCATGTATTCTGTAACAATTAATGACAAAAAATTGGTATGTCACCTGATTTTGAGAATGTATTACATAAATGCAAAACATATTCATCATGATGCCAACTTTTTTTTTTACTTTCTTTTTGGGAAATATATATATACATATATATATAGAAAAAAAACTTTCTTTTTATTCAATATCATAATTCTGACACATCCAATAAACCATAATTGTGAAATAACAATATAGAGACTAATTTGAGATGGATATCTTCTACATGTATAAAATATAAGCCTGCTCAGAAAACAAAGTTTGGAACAAAGAATTTTAACGATTTTTTTAAAAGAAAGAATTTCGTGGTGTTGCTTCGTTTTTTTTTTATAATTGGAACTGCCGTAGAGGTGAATATGATTTAAAACAAAACTCACATAAGCCTGATAAACTCTTCACAAGACCTCAGCTAGCTTTAAGTACGGGGTTGTTAATTAGAAGGATAAGTTTAGAATAAATTTCTCGATACACTTTTTAATTGTATTAATGTTTAAATTTTCGGTGATACAATTGTTTTTATTTCATATTTACAAAAGAAGATTTATACCTCAAACATTTTCAATTTGAATCTTCATAATGCTTTTGTTGTTGAGATTTTAAAAATTATATTCATGCAATTTTGAATCTTGAAGACATTAGGTCTTGAAGCTCAGAAAAATGTGCACTGTTTATTCGTCCTTATAGGAAATTTGATGTCAAAAAGTGCACATATACATGGCAAATCAAACACTGATATACGGAGAAAATAGAATCTGTATAACCAATTTTTTCTCAATATTTAATGCAAATCATAATGACTATTCTTGCAAATTTATCCACTTTAATAGTCAGGTTGAATTTACATGTATGCTACATGCATAGAAAATTTAGTTATGAACTTTAGGCATGAAATGCTACATCAAAAATTTATATAATCCATATAGCTATCTATGGAAAAGTAATGAATTTGATCGCATATCAACTACAGTGTACTAAGTTGTCAAGCAAACTCTCTTTCATCTCATTTGTGTCCCTTAATCCTGATGTGATAGTAATGGAAATAATTACTAAACTTAGTTGGTGTAATGAACTAAATCATAGATTGGATAGAGTACGTTAGTGTTTCATCTGATGTGCATATTTCTAAAAATAATCCTCAGATGGAAGATGATTTATTCTCAAGCAGAAAATAACCCAGGATCGTTATTTCAAATTCCCTAGAGCACTTCCAATCTTCATAATGATATATTAAATAGTAAGTAATCCTTTTGCGTGTGTCTTATTATCCATCCTATACTATATGATCTGAATTATTTATATTACATGCTTTTTCTAAATTATCATCTGTCCATAACTTTCACATTAATGGGTCCTTCGGATGAGACCGTAAAAACCGTGGTCCCGTGTCGCAGTAGGTGCTGGCACGAAAAAGATCCCTCATTGCTCAATGGTCGTACATGTAGGTGCCGAGTATAGAACAAAATTTGCAGATTTCCACCGGAAAGTCTCGATCCATATGAGTAAAAAATGCTCGAGAGGGGCTTTTATCATGTTCAACAACAAACAAGCAAACAAGCACATTGATGGTAAATACACTGTAGCTAAAATGAGAACTTATACCAGAGTGTATAAAGTACACCTCATGTAGCATAGTATCATGTAAAAGAATACTAGCAGTATCTACTTAATCAATTTTAAATGTTTTCCTTTTTTCAGAGTTCTTCACTGCAAAATTAACCATATAAACAAGGGGCCCTTTGCCAGAAAGCTCACAAGTGTAATGGCGATCCTGCTGTTCTTCATCAGCAAATTTTTTAAAGATGCAATAATATTCCGTTTTTGTTGCACCGCCCTACCTCCTGCAGATCATGCCTTGACATACATGTAGCTTCAATCTACACTAAATGGGCATGTTTACAAATATAATGATGACTAAAGATCCTTGCTGTTCTATAAGTTCTACACAAGATTTTCTTCGGTGTCTACTTGCATCATTTAGAATACGCTGTAGATGCTTTAAAATCAATCATCCGCCATAATATAACTCATTTGTATATTATTTCATGATTACTTTGAAATTTCACTGCTAATGAAAACACTGTTTTGTTTTTAGTTTAACAGCATAAGGAAAAGAAAGAAATTGCATTTTTTCTTCTGTACATATATGGTAAATTTTCTTCTAATTTGGTTCTTGCTAAAAAAAATTACTCATAAAGAATGTATGACATTTACAAGTCAAAAGATTAAAGGCATACTCGTACTGGTAATTTAATATTTTGCAATCGTTACTGGATTTTCTGCCGGAATAAAACCCATAGGAGAAATATTTTCTGTTGAAGCTATTTATCAACGTAGATGCATTATTTAGTTATACACTGAAAATGAAATTATAACACTGGGCCATCTTTAAAATAATGCTTGCTTCTTCTCTCCTGACTCAGAGGAATATTACTGGGTCGGTAGATAGGTGGGAAAATCTTTTTCCCAGAAAATTTCAATATATTTGTTGATGAGATATGAGGAATAAAAAGAAAAAAAAAATCTGTGTCCTGAAATGTAAAAATAAACTTTTGAGACGGGCCATTTTCACACAGTCAGTCGGGAGAGGGCAACCAAACAATTTTTCAAAGGTGCCCCGAGCATTTTCATTTCTTGTGTTAAACGTATACTTAGTAGTTCCTTAAACCTTTCACACGTCCACTCATTTTAGCTCCTTTTACCACTTAGTACCAGTGAGGAGTATATTTTGTGCCATTCTCTACTGTGACACAGGACCTCATCAGTTTTATTGTCTTCTAAATGATCTGAGTATCTACATGTTCATGTCCAATAGTGGCATTCAAACCAAAATTGGTGTTCTACTGTAATTATTTTGCCATGTGTCTGTCTTTTTTCAGAAGGTTTAGAAGCAACTTCTGTTCAAAAGGTTTAACAATTACATGTAACCTACTAGTATGTATGATTTCTTTATCCCAGAAAATTTCAATATATTTGTTGACGAGATATGAGGAATAAAAAGAAAAAAAAATCTGTGTCCTGGAATGTAAAAATAAACTTTTGAGACGGGCCATTTTCACTCAGTCAGTCGGGAGAGGGCAACAAAACAATTTTTCAAAGGTGCCATGAGCATTTTCATTTCTTGTGTTAAACGTATACTTAGTAGTTCCTTAAACCTTTCACACGTTCACTCATTTTAGCTCCTTTTACCACTTAGTACCAGTGAGGAGTATATTTTGTGCCATTCTCTACTGTGACACAGGACCTCATCAGTTTTATTGTCTTCTAAATGATCTGAGTATCTACATGTTCATGTCCAATAGTGGCATTCAAACCAAAATTGATGTTCTACTGTAATTATTTTGCCATGTGTCTGTCTTTTTTCAGAAGGTTTAGAAGCAACTTCTGATCAAAAGGGTTAACAATTAGCTTACTATTATGCATGATTGTATCATTTTCCATTATTCTTAACACACTTGAGGTCTTCTGTAAAAGATCACGATTTACTCATTTTAGATGCCTTAATATGATGAACAGATTTCGCTGTTAAAGGTTGGTGGGCAACCTTCCTTTATATCCCCTGTTTCCTACGATTTAAAATTAACAGCTGCAGAATTGCTTAATGTTTATCCTACATGTGAGGGATGTGACTCAATGTGTGAATACTGGGGGAGAAAAATAAACCCATGACACTTATTGAAGTGATGCACGGTTTTGTCAACTATAAACATAATCAAGTGCCAACCACACATAAAAGGAAAATCGACAACTTGACTGCACAAATTTGGTGGCAAGGGAAAAATAAATCCGAATCCTGTCATTCCAATCATTTCTTAATGGCTGAAATTGTAATTGAACAGAGAATTCCTACACATGACTTTCTTGTGGCGTGAGGTATGGATCAATATAAAACATCACTTTAATAATGCAGTAAGGAACTATTTACTACTCTCTTGAAATATCATTTGTTTTCATTTCATCTACTTTAAAAGCTTGAATAAAATTGCACAGATGAAATACAGGTCGCTGTGTAACAAAGCAAAAACAATATCTCGGTGAACTTCTTAGCTTTAATGAGGACACTGATTTACTTGCTGGTAAATTAAATGACTATTTCTCCTCAAGGTCTATATAAAGAAGTTTTTCACTAAACAAATATGTTTTCAGCTTAATGAAAACGCAAAACAGGAAAAAGTTCCTAGTCAAAAACAAGAAAACAGAATTTATTTCAACAGTATATAAATTACTACTGAAACCTTTATCAACACCTTCAACATCATTCAACAATATTCTACGGTATGTGTGAAACCCAAATTAATTAGCAGCTATGATAGAATTTACTTGTACATAGAAAATTATCATCAAAAATATGTCTCTAACCATAGTTGGCAGGAATATCATTTCCATTAACAATACATATTTATTTTCCATTTTAATGATCAATTTTTTTTAAATCTACAAATAATACCAAATTGTTAGCGGGGCATAGAAATACAAGAGGTCGAATCAGGAGACTAGGAGGAATAAACATCCCCTTTGAACCACTTAAATCTACTGTAAGGCCTGCATTTTGATCAGGTGGATCTAATATTCCTTATACCAGTTTTTTTCCTTCAAAAAAGGCTTAACAACTGGTTTGCAAATTGTAAATGTCAGTCAAAATACATCCCAGTGAAAGTCAAAATACATCCCAGTGAAAGGTTATTTTTGCTAATAAAATCATTATGTCAACAATTCAATTATATTTACCAAATGCTGAAAATAAACATTATTGTTTAAATTTCTGTAATATCAACTTATCTGTCTGCAGCCTTCCTCTTTTTAAAATTGATCATATACTCAGAGCATGCTCTTGAATATGAGCATATGAATAGTGAAAAATAACATGTCAAAACGTGGGCCCATAGTTTTCTTTCTTTTGCTTATAAAATTTCTGAGATAGTTCGTCACTGAACATGTGTAAAACTCAATCCCAACTTAAAGAAGTACATGTAGTCCTCCTTGACTTTATTTATAACACCTGTAACAAAGTTACAGACTTCATTTTGGACAAATAAATAACCACATACACATATATTTCTCTTATTGCATTTAAAATGTTTCAATGCAATACTTTGTTCTCAAATATTACGGGAAAGCTCCTTTATTTAACAGCTTATGAGAACTATCAATCAACTGTCTTAACATGTATGAAAATGAAGCTCAAATTCACTTTTCACTTCTTCAAAAAATTGCAAAACATTTGACCTAGATATAATGGCAGTTTGATTGAAAACATTTCAAGGAAGCACTTAAAACATCAATGAATAAATCAAACTCCATCTATAATTTTTCCCGATCCCCACACCCAACAACATCACTGATAACAAGTTCATGTCCATACCGTACATAGCAAGTACATACCATACATAGCAAATCCATGGAAAGGGATCACGCCATTTGGGGGGTAATTCACAGCGAACTCATCCATACCCAACCTCCCACGGATATATGATTTAGGAGGGCTTGCACTGTTGTAATCAAAGTGTTTCAATACACATGTATCTCTTGAAAATGGTAACAAAATCTGGAAGTAAAATTAAATACAAATACAATATCTGCTTTAATCACTAATTATCTTTTGGTTGACTTTTACGTATACTATAAAATATAATTATATAAATACAACATACTTGTTTTAGAAATATTTGAACCAAGGGAAGGGGAAGGGAAATGTAAATCAACCTTAAAAATGATTTAAATATTAAGGTTTAGTAATTTAAACAAAGGTACAGTTATTGATGATAGCTCAAAATGTGAGATTTGAAATCACCCTGAATTATCTTGATGAAGTTTTTGTTTGCAAATTTGATTATTTTATCCTGGAAATGATCAATACTCATTGCTGTGCAGATTTCATCTGCAGTATAATGGGAAGAAGGAGAACTCTGGTGCAGACAAATTTAGTACCTGATATAAAAAGTCCTCAAAAACAAAATACTGGTCATCATTTGTTGCAGTTAGCTTCACATCCTGTTTTTTAAAATAAAAATGATTATCAATCAATCAATCAATCAATCAAGGATGATATTCTCTGTAGTTAAAATACAAGGAAATTAATAAATCCATGGAGCCCTTGTTATGCAAATTAAAGATTGCAGAGAAAATTTGTGACCTACCTATGACCTTTTTGTATATTATCTATTAGATTCAATGTTTCTTTTTTAACAGTGAAGACAACAGGTTTTTAATACATGTATGCTGCATTTTTCAAGAGACATTGCAAAATTGGATTAAAAAGGATCTTAGCTTAATCTGAATTTAGTTGCTTAGGTTTATTTAAAAAAAAAAAAAAATAATAATTACAGTAATGAACTTACTCTTTCCCTATGGGTGCAAGAATTTCTTTCGTTCTTTTATGAAATGGAAGTATGCCCAGAATTAAAATTTCATGGGCCTTTCAGATAAGCTGAAAAATGCTTGAGAAGATAACATTGGTACACTTTTTCCCTGTAAAGTTAATTCTTTCATATTTGTGAATTGAGTCAGCCTCACTCATACATTACATTATTATGTTCCCCAAACGAAGTTTGGGAACATATTGTTTTTACTTTTTCTGAATTTTTTCTTTGTTCTCCGGTACTTTTTTGTCCGCGAGTGTTCTCGTAAACTACTCATCCGATCTAGGTGAAACCTTTTTAGGGTCACTGGGTATGTTATGTAGATGTGCGGAACGAAGGTCATTTTGTGCGCAGGTCGCGCACGTGTAACACGTGAAATGACCAATATAATAGATTTAGCCGTAACTTTTTAAATATTGGATGAAATGCTTTGAAACTCATAATATAAGGATATAATAGTAGTATAGACATGATGACATGGTCAAAATAGCTAGATCTCACGCGCATGCAGGTGCCCTTCGCTGCGATTGGCTGAAACTTAAAGTCTAAATATCTATTTTGTTTTCTGACAAAATCCTTTGAAATTTTGATCATAGTCTTACATTATGAAGATCTACAGCATGATATATAAGAATATTCATGAACGCACGCACATGCACGTGTGCTGCAATCTGATTGGCTAAAACTTTAAATGCCTACAACTTTCTTGGTTCTCAATAATACAGGGTGAAATTTCAAATATGAATAGATATAATGATTGCCTACATTATACTACTATCAAAAGTAAATACATGGACGTGCATGCACATGCGACCGCACACAATGTATTAAAAGACAGTATACTTGAGTGTTTGATGTTCATGCAGAATTAAGAACTTCTAAATGTCAAGACATGTAACATACTGAAGCATGCAGATCTTTTTACCCTTGACCTTGAAACTTAGGTCAAGGTCACTGGTAACCTGAATAAAATGTTGATATTAACTATTTACCAAAATCACCTTGACCTATGAACTTGAAATCGACCTTAACCTTTGTCCTTGACCCAAGGGTAAAAAGAAACATGAAGTACATGTACATGTATCTAGAAACACCTTTCAGAGTTTATTTCGGTTGACAGGTTAGAAGTTAAAGAGGTGGTGGTTTTTAATGACCTTGACCTTTCATCCAAATGTCACAATCAATCTTAAGTTCTTGGAATAAGATACAAGATTCAACTCCAACGTTAAATAGGTTAAGAATAAAAATAACACCCCCCCCCCCCCACACACACACACAAACAAATCAAATTAATGGCAACGTAGAGAATCACTGTTAAACTCAAATAACACCTCGGACCCACATAAAATTTCAGGAAAACTGCAGAAAAGAGCTCGAGGAAAGTGTATTAAAATATTTCATTTGAGTTTCCAAAGTATATAGAAATTATTAATTTATACAGAAAAAATTACAAATCCTGTCGTGTTTAAAATTAAAGTGCAGATGACCAAAGTTGGCATATAAGCCTTTTATAGCCTATTTATTCAGATGTCGTTAATAGCATTCGATTCTACTGATTTAAAATAATATTTTAATACCAAGCATCCTTTGTTTAATTTACCTTTGAAATTTATTTGAATTTTTTTTAGAATTACGCAATCCCCAGAAATAGCGATTTTCGGTATATTAAAAATCAATATACATGTACGCTCCTTCGTAAAATAATCAGATATTTGCATTCATGAAAAAAATATTAATAAGAAGGTGTTAAACAATATAGGTCACATTAGCTGACACGAATGTCTTTTTAAACATCTCTTGTAAAACCCAGAGCGTAGCCCCCTATGCATTGGAAAAAATGAATAGTTCCGGTCAAAAAACCTTTATATATTTATTTACAAAGTATATAAAATTTACCAGGCACGGGTATCAGAGTTGTCAAAATGGCCTGAGAGGAGATATTAAAAAAATTCTGAACAGAAAGGAAAATCCCTTTTCCATGTATGGAACTACTATTGAATAAGTTCATTTTGATTGGTTAGGTATTGGCGTGATACCCCTAGTCGACTTTAACCCTGCCTTGTCGTCGGAATAAAACCAACTTTGAGCCCGAGGTTAAAATAAGTAGAGAAATAAAATGTGAATCGATATATTAAAAATATGACATATGCTTGAAAAATGGTAAATTTATATATGTATTTTTTTCTTTGATTCGCGGGATAGAAAGATATGTTAATCGCTTAATCAACATGCCATAATCATCTTGCATATGCATGTACATGTACGTGTGCGCGCATGCAAAACGTTAAACAATATATCGTTGATAGTTGATATCATTGTAACTTTTATATTCTTAAATGAAATCTTGGGATACTTAGCAAATTTATAAAAGGTCTTAGAGGAATAAGGCACGATAAGGGACATGGGGAGCGTTTGGGGAACATCTGTAACGGTCCCCGTTACAATTAGCACTAGTTTGTTAATATGTAATTGATTTTTCAAACATGCAGGTCATAATATTACATTTTCTGATCACTTCTTTTAAATTATGGAATATATATCAAGTATGTGTCACATGGTGAATAAAGTTAGTCAAGAGTATTTTATAGAAAAACTCTCATATTAAACTGAACACTTCATGACAGTTTGCTCTTTCCAAAATTAAATCCTATTACTTAATTAAGATCAGTGATTTCAATAGATCATTTCATTTTTATTAGAACAACTTTTTAACTCAGTCCTCTTTACAAATTAGATTAATACTATCAAATTATCTTTTTCTTTCATAATTATTCATCTTTGATTTAAATGTTTTCAAACCAAAATACATGTATTACATTTCAAAGAAAGAGGCAAGAATTTATTTTCAAATAATGAACATAAAAAACATCTGTTGGATAAATTGAGTTCTACGTTTTTGTTATTTTAACAGGAGACAAATGCTAATGATAAGGACATTATTCTTTAAAACTCACATAGTTTCAATAAATTCATCTTAAAAAACAGAGTATAAAATACTATGTTTTTGAAACATGAAAGAAACAGATTTAACTGATATTGTCAGTGCATGCAGACACATTAATCTGAATGCAGTGAAAAATGAAGCTGTTTCTACAAAACATTTCAGAAGTGATGTAACACTTTTATAAACAGGGAGAAATACATGTCTAAGTTAATCATTATGACACCCAATGGTCCAGTCTATTTCTTTAAAAGTGACACAGACTTCCCGATAATTAACACTAACAAACCTTGTAAAGTAAACTGTCGACTAATAGGTCATGTTGCAGCACATTTGTTTTCAGTTGCTCGTAATAAAGGACATCCTGAAATGTACAGATATATTAGGTGCCAACCATCTGAAAATAATGATGCTGGAAAATACAATTTAATAAGTTTTTATTCAAATCATTAGTAATTATTGAAGTTGTTTTGAAACGTAATTGACAGGAAAAGCTCTCAGAAAATCTTCTCTAATTGAACATAAAATCTAAATGTATATGTCTCAAGAGTTTGTTGATGAATTCCCTTGAATCTCTTGGAGTAACCTGTGCCAACAAACAAAGAACATTAAAAGACACAATTCTTGCTAAAATTTAATTAATAAGATATATTTAGATTTTTCAAAAATGTGAAATAACAGGAAAATATATTAAGATGTTTAATTTCTTATAATAAAATTATCATTTAAATTACTATGGGAATTAAGAATGCGATGAAATTTCTTTTTGCAAAATTAAAAAAAATGAATATAAATCTTACAATTTCATCCACTTCAATAGCCAGTATTTGACACCACAGTGTAGCACGCATGCTAGTGGGGCACCCTTTCTTAGAAAATTCTTGAGCAAGAGGGCCATGATTTGCATTAATCACTACAAATTAAAAGGTGAAATAAATTTTGGTAAGACAATATTTTTTATTGTTAATTTTCTCATTTATGCATTATGAA